TGTCATCTTATCTCTTTGAAGCCCATCCTTCATTCTCAACCTTGAACAAATCCCATTGTTTTGTCTTTCTCGGCATGGTACTACGTCATCCTCATGTTCCATTTCCAAATTAAGCCTCAGGGTTAGTGTTGTTCCAGCCACGTTGAATTTTCACAGAAACTGTCTGCTGCACCAGCATCTGAGTGCGTTTATTTGGTTTAAATCATTTTCTTTTAATCTGACTACTTTCTTGAATAAAAATAAATGAAAGATGAATCTTAAATAATTTATATGATCATTGCTAATGAAATTAACTAAAACTGTCCATCTTATTCTAATCGCAGCTTCAACTTCATGTGGATTTATAGGTTAACTCATTCATGCCCAAATTGCCCCGTAACAATACACAGTCACTAGAAAATTCACACACTGAAAGACATGTAGGGGGTGTGGCCTTCTGCATGAACCAAGGAAATCCCTAGCTTTCAATCAATTTCGCAAGGCGTGTGGCAGAAACAGCCATTGGTATAGTCAGTGCGGTAGGGCAATGGCTGATGCAGTTACAAAGAGCCACTCAATGGCCCAGATAGACTGTGCATGTGGAGTACCTTCAAGGTCCAATAAAGGCCATCTCAGTTCTCACTAAAAGCCTATGCATGCCATAAACCAGAATCTGCTAGTGTCCACGATAGGTCGAATGTTGCTGAACATATCTTGCTGTCAACCTTGTGGAAAATGTCATTGCTTTCATTTTGTCTGAAATGTTTGCGAAATTACAAATCATCTGTCCTCAGAAACTGATGAATATTAGTTATTGGCAAGTATTAACACAGGGCAAGTGCCAATGTGAAATTTAAAAAAGGTACCCACAGAGAAGTAAAGATATGGCTACACGTATGAATGTAAAACTGTTGTATACAACTGTTCACCAATTCCATGTGTAGGATCAACAGTGCTGGAATGCAAGTACAAACAATCTGCCTGGAAAGATGTTCTACATGGTAGACACTATTGGACTCGCAATTGCAGCATACCAGCATGTCACGATTTCATACCAATCAAATCCAGAACTGGCAGACCAGTGGAATCAGTCCGACATTAGGGACACAACAGAAATTGCAGCAGACTCTTTAAGAAACACATGCAGAACTGAACATGAAAGAAGAACAGAATGCTTCACTGTTTTCTATAGTAGTGGAGCTAAAGTTTAAGCTCTCTGCTGTGGACTGGAACATGAAAGTTGAAGAGGTAAAGGCTAAACAATTAGCTCAGGATAGTAACACATTTGGAAGTACCATTTCTGAGAGGATAAATTATTTAGGATTAACTCTGCTCAATTCACAAAGATGAATTGAAGTGCTGTAAGATAAAGAAAAGAAGCAGGGTGAACCTAAGATGTGTACCATCAATCTAATGAAAAGGTTGCCAGTTTACAGGAAAATCTGGAGCAATGCACATGTAAAACAGATGAAAGTCCACAGGGATAGTAGGAACTGCAGATGCTGGAGAATCCGAGACAACAAGGTGCAGGGCTGGATGAACACAGCAGGCCAAGCAGCATCATAGGAGCAGAAAGGCTGATGTTTCGGGCCTAGACCCTTCATCCTTTTCTGATGTGTTCATCCAGCCCTGCACCTTGTTGTCTCTGAAAGTCCACAGGAGCAGCGACAAAACATTAGTTTGAGCTCATAGCAATGCTGGTGCAAATAATGTTCCTTCAAAAAACAAATATATATTATTCCTGGGATAGTCTTTCAGAAATAAGTTTCAGTAATCACACTCCAATGAAAAAACTCAAGCTGGACATATATTAAACCAAAAGGTGAAGGCAGTCCAGTTTAAAAGCAAACAAAAAGAAAAATGAAGGTGAAAAGGTTACACAGTTAGTCAAAGGAAACAACCAACTGGACTAAACTTTGATTGGAACATTTAGAGTGTAAAACCAGCAACTGCTGGAAACTATTAAGGAACAAAATAGTAAATGCCAATAAGATTTGAACCACTCAAGGCAACTTAAGAAAGGAGCTCAGTCAGTTGTTAATCTGGTGCAAAATGTGGCCGGAGTGCATTAGGGTAAGCAAATTCTGGAACAGACTGCTCAACTCCTAATGCCAATGCCATCTGCACCATCTACTGTAATCACAGAATCCCTACAGTCTGTAATGGCTGCAACATTCCAGAACATACTCTTCAAGAATGACTAAGAAACCCATTTGTATTTTTTAAAAAAACTTTTAACTTTCTTTGGTCTCACTTCTTAGTTCTAATCTGTGTATATGTGTATTACATGAGTACTTGTTCTTGGATTTAGTAACTAGTGAATTCACTCTTATACAAACTCAAGAAAACCTGGTTAAATCAGTCCTGTTCAAAACCTAAATGAATTTGGTTTGGGAAAAAAAGTCCACAAAGGAAGGATCCATTTCAAATTAACTATGTTGCAACCAACTGAGGGGTTGGGTGATCAGGAAGGGGAATGAATGTATCCCTCCTTGCCCAAGAGTTTAATGATTTGGGGGAATCCGTCTTGTGACAACATAAACGTCACAACTTTAAGGACTTCATAGAGTCATGCATCTCAGAAACTGGGCCTTCTGTCCACTCGTCCATGCTGACTAGGTATCCTAAACTGATCTAGTCCCATTTGCCTGTGTTTGACCCGTATCCTTGGAAACCTTTCCTGTTCATGTACCTGTCCAAATACTTTTAAATGTTGTAAATGTACCCGCCTCTACCACTTCCCCTGGCAGCTCATCCCATACATGCATCACCCTCTGTGTGAAAAAGTTGCCTCTTACATCCCTTTTAAACCTTTCCACTTTCATCTTAAACCTATGCCCTCTAGTTTGGACTCCCCTACCCTTGGAAAAAGCTTTGGCTACTCATAGAGTCATAGAGATGTACAGCATGGAAACAGATCCTTCAGTTCAATCCGTCCATGCCGACCAGATATCCTAAATTAATCTAGTCACATTTGCCAGCATTTGGCGCATATCCCTCTAAACCCTTCCCATTCATGTACCCATCCAGATGTCTTTTAAATGCTGTAATTGGACCAGCCTCCACCATCTCTTCTGGCAGCTCATGCTGCGCACACACCATCCTCTGCATGAAAAAGTTGCCCCTCAGGTCCCTTTGCTTTACTATGCCCCTCATGATTTTATAAACCTCTATAAGGTCATGCCTCAGCCTCCGACGCTCTAGGGAAAGAAGTCCCAGCATGTCCAGCCTCTATTTATAATTCAAACCCTCCAATCCTGGCAACATCCTTGTAATTTTTGTCTGTACTCTTTCTAGTTTAACAACATCCTTTTTATATTTCATGCATTGAGAGGATCAGCAACAACTCTTTCTGGAATAAATTGTTTCCTGAGATGAAAGGATCAAGGAGAAACTGTTCTAAGGGAATTAAAAACAACATGCTAATTAACCGTCCCTGGGAAAAAGGAGTTAAAGCAACATAAACAAGCTGTTTCCTAGGAGAGTGGAGGTGACACTGCTTGATGACCTGCTGTGTCGTGACATATGGGCAATGAAGACTGCTTGCAAAAGGAATGTCCTGAAGTAAAGGAGTTAATTGTAACACAGGCTGCTTTAAACAGCTAATACTGATCGTGACAAGGAACAAGGAGCTACTTCTGATAAGAAGCCAAGCCACAGACTTGAGATCTCCAGAAGGGTAATCAATGTTAGGGATGAAAGAGTGTACAGGATCATCGATAATGTCACATCACAAACTTGAAAGACAGAAAACTGCACAAGAATCCAACACCAGAATCTCCTTAGCAGAACTTAAAGAACGACACTGCACAAGAATCAAATCCTGGATACTTAAGAGACAGGCATTGTTGTTTGGAATCATAGCTAATTTCCACCATTAATTGGATAATAGCCAAGTTGAGTTGCGAGGCTTCATTTGATTACTTGAGAGGTCTTATTTTGGTTGCTACATGTAATAAAGTTAAATTATTGCTTGAGTACTTGAGCGATTGTGAGAATAAGTAACTGAATTAAAGTTAACTTGGGGTGATTTATACATAACAAACTGGGGAGGTTCACTCAGAGACTGGTTGTTTTAATATGCAGCGAGGCCTAGACAACATTCAGGTTTGGGCTAATAAGCAGCTACTAATACTTGCACCGTACAAGTACCACACAATCACCATTTCCAAGATTCACTTGCCTGAATTATTACAATCCTAACAGCAGTCAAGAATCATAGAATCATGGGATCCCTGCAGTGCAAATAGAGGCCATTTGGCTCATCGAGTCTGCATTACTCCTCAGAAGAGCATCCCATCTGTCCCAAATCCCACACCCTATCTCTGTAATGGCAGCATTGTGGCTCAGTGGTTAGCACTGTTGCCCCACAGCGCCAGGGAACCAAGTTTGATTCCAGCCTTGGACGGCTGCCTGTGCGGAATTTGAACAATTCTCCCCGTGTCCGCGTGGGTTTCCTCCGGGTGTTCCAGTTTCCTCCCACAGTCCAAAGATGTGCAGGTTAGGTGGATTAGCCATGCTAAATTGCTCCATTGTGTCCAGGGATATGCTCACTAGGTGGGTTAGCCATGGGAAATGCAGGGTTACAGGGATAGGGTTGGGGGTGGGTCTGGGTGGGATGCTCTTCAGAGGGTCAGTGTGGAATTGATGGCCTGCTTCCACACTGTAGGGATTCTATGATTCTACAAACCCCCTATTTACCATGGCCAATCTACCTAACCATGGATGTTACTGGCAATTTAGCATGGCCCATCCAACTAACCTGCAAATCTTTGAAATGTGAGAGGAAATCGGAGTACCCATCGGAAACCACGCAGACATGGATAGAATATGCAAACTGAACATAGACAGTTGCCCAAAGTTGGCATGGAACCCAGGTCCCTGGCAGCTCCACACCATTCAGGACATAGCAGCCTGTTTAATCACCCCCTAACCGACCACCTTCAGTATTCACTAACCCCGCCACAAATGCACAATGGCGGCATTTAGTACCATCTACAAGATGCAGTGAAGGAACTCACCACAATTCCTGCAACAGCACCTTCCAAATCGATGATCTCTACTTCCTTGATGGGCAAGAGTAGCAGGTGTATGACAGTACCATTATCTTTAAGTTCCCTCCGAGCCATATACCTGATGTGAAACTATATCACCATTCCTTTGCAGTTGCCAGTTCACAATTTTGGAACTCCTAACATGACGGGCGGCAGCAGTTCAAGAAGGCAGCACCTTCTCAAAGGCAATTAAAAATGGGGAATAAATTATGAGTTGGCCAGCAAAAGCCTACATCCTGTGACGGTAGAAAGAAACTAACTTTTTATCTTGTTTAAATTATATAATTGTTTTTAAATTGTATAATTGATTTTAAAACTAAACTAGCTGCATAATTTCACGCTTCGCGAACCATTCTGAGGACAAGGTAGATTCATGAATCTAACTTTACAGCCTCTTTTCTGAGAGAATTAACTCGTGTCAGTGAAGAAGCCCTGAATGAGCTAGGTGGCTTAAAAGCGCAGTTCTCATTCCAAATTTTACCTTTCCCAGATGAAAATTTAATGGACATGTCTGCCTGAGCCAATTGTAAATCGCTCCCCTTGGATGCATCAAAAGTAGCACTGGCACTGACCCGCCAGTAGGTTGTCTGCTCGCTCTTTTAATTGGGCAACAGAAATGTGAAAGAACCTGGAGCCTTCAGAAACAAAAATCATGAGCCACAAAAATAAATGTTTGATTTTTATTGAACAATAAGTAAAACATGACATTTATTTCCTTACCCTTTGTACAAGTGAACAAAGTGGTATTATTCTCAATTTCTTCAAAATTTACAAAATATTTCCTACTAACATCTAAACAGTAAATTTTGCAAGGATGCAAACTGAATCAAATCCTGGTTAAAACAAGTATGGCTTGGAGAATCAAATCAAATCAAATTTTCTAGTGTTTTAATATAAGCTGAAATAACAGCCTCATTAAAACACAGATTTCAACTTCTAAGCAGTGTGACTGCAGTAGAACTCTGTTTTGTTTATTTCATATTGAAACTTGGAAGGAATTAAATTACTCTTCCATCTATGAACATTTTTAAAAATCGACATTACTGGGCACAATTTAGGATCTGGTCTCAAGAAAGTACTAACGTACTGCATGGACTAATGATCAATTCAGCCAACCTTTGAATTTGATGTTGAGTTCAGAAGGTCAAAGTGTTTACTCAATACAGGAGTGATGTGGGTGTGAGCCTTAACTTTTTAATTATTTGACCCAGTCATTTTGGACTCAAAAGGAAAATGCTTTCTGCACATGTTGGAAATCTGAAATAAAAACAAAAATTGCTGGGATTACTTAGCAGTTCTGTCAGTTTCTTTGGAGAGAGAAACAATGCTAACATTTCAATTTTGATGCTCTGATGAAAGATCACAGTTTTGAAACATTAACTCTGTTCCTTTCTCTACATATGCAGCCAGACCTGAAGTTTATTCCCAAAATTTTCAGTTTTTATTTCCCACATTGATGCCTATGGTGCTAGCTTCCTACGATGTTATAATGAAGATGAAAGGAAGCTCAAGCAACAATATAATAACCTTTGACCCAGAAGCAGTATGTTAAAGGTTTGTAATTTGTTTAAAGTGTTTCAGAAAACTACAATTGTTTAAAAAATAAGTTTTAAAAAGACTTATAAGTGTTTGCATCAAACGTAAAAGGGTCCATGTGACATGGTGTCTCTTGATCTTGAAGGTGTATAAAAAGAAAGAAAGATAAGGAACAAAAATAACTATGTTGCCAGACACAAAGAAGAGCTGCAGCAGAGGGAGAACAAAAGGTACACGCACAAGGAGCTGTGCATTTGCAATGCAATTAAACTGGACAGAAAGGCACATAGGGTTAGGGCGGGGATTGTAAACTGAAAAATTGTACGGCTTTTGTTTCAGTCTTGCTACAACTAACAAGACTATTTCACAGGGGTTATTATTTAACAGGGGTTATTAAAAGCGTCAGACAAAGGAGTCCCTAGGGAATCGGTGCCATCAAGATTGTAGGAAATCAACCGATTCAGCAGAATTGTGCAGTTTAAATGATGACCATCTCCAAGGACTTTGGTACAATACAAATATTAGTGAACACAACTCAGGACCTGAACTGATTGAGTGGGGAAAGATCCTAACCAAAAATGAGTTGGAGAACCTTGGACCATTAGATGGTGTCATTTACGTTACAGGTACTCGCGGTCCTGTAGGATGTATAATTGTTGTATTGACCATTTAATGTGAAATTTGTCTTTTTATTTAAATTATCATTCGTCACTTCATAGAGTCATAGAATCCCTACAGTGTGGAAGCAGGCCATCCGGCCCATCTAGTCCACACTGACCCTCTGAAGAGCATCCCACTCCATCTCTGTAATCCTGCGTTTCCCGTGGCTAATCCACCTAGCCTACACAACCCTGGATGCTATAGACAATTTAGCATGGCCAATCCACCTAATCTGCATACATTTGGACTGCTGGGGGAAACCACACCACTTGGGGAAAACCCACACCGACATGGGGAGAATGTACAAACTCCACACAGACGGTCGCCTGAGGGTAGAATCAAGCTTGAACCCTGGCGCTGTGAGGCAGCAGTGCTAACCCCTGAGTCACTCTGCCACCATGGCTAATTAACATTTAATGTAAATTGGAATCACTGTAAATTAAAATAGCTGTGATATAAAGTTATACCTTTGTTGTAATTTATTCATTTTGTAAGTTATTTGGTCAATGTGTCATTTTAGATTACAGTTTACCCACAGGGATTGTAACAACAGCACCTTCCTTTTAATTAGGCACTTTACAGCCCTCCAAACTCATCAATGAATTCATAAATTTAATGTCCTCAGTACTGCACCATCTTTTCTGGACAACGGCTGTTGGTAACGGTTCTACAGTGTGCAGCTGGAGGAACACAGCAGGCCAGGTAGCATCAGAGGAGCAGGAAAGTTGATGTTTCAGGTCGGGACTCTTTCTTCAGAAATGGGCCGAAGTGATTACCAGGGGGTTGCAGTGGGAGGGAGATCCACTGAGGTCTTTCTGGACGGAGGAGGATAACTTCTTCAAGGTGGGGATCCTTGGAAGAAGCTTCGCAGCGGGGTTATAACTCACCCAGAGATAGTAAGAACTGCAGATGCTCAAGTCAGAGATAACACAGTGTAGAGCTGGAGGAACACACAGGCCAGGGGATGCCCATTTCTGAAGAAGGGTCCTGACCTAAAACGTCAAGTTTCCTGCTTCTCTGACGCTGCCTGGCCTGCTGCGTTCCTCCAGCTCCACACTGCGTTATCTCTGACTCCAGCATCTGCAGTTCTTACTATCTCTGGGTAATAGTTCTGCTGTTTACACCACCTCTAGACCAACCTCTTTTTTTCATTACCAGTCCCATTAACATCTCCTTTTGCCTTAGATCATTATTCCTTTTGTCAGTTAATCATTCTATCCTCCACCTCCACATTTTCTTTTTGTTCTTTCTGCCTCTCCCACATTCCCTACTTGGTATTTATTTAAGACCCGTTACATCCCTGACTTCCCAGTTTCAAAGACAGTATTGACTTGAAGTGTTAACTCTGTTTCTTTCTCCACAGGTGCTACCAAACCTTCTGAGAATGTCAAACATTTCTATTTTTATTTCACAGTATTTTGCTTTTTGTGATGTGTTTCCTGTACCTTCTAACTTTGTGCTCTTGCTAAGTGAATTGAAGAGGTGAATGAACAATTAAGTGGATTTCAAGCACTATGGTATACACGTAGATGATAAATAACACAACATAATTGCAAATTCTTTCTTTGTCATTGACAGATAAGTGACCAGTTTACCAACCATTAATCATAAGTATGTATTAGATTTTGGATTTTTGACACATTACTTTTGAGGTGTTATATTTCTGGGGAATATTTTTAGTTACATGAATATTACTAACTGGAATTAAAACATCCTTTGCATAAATACACAAACCACCTCCTCAGGAAATAGAAACTAAATGTGTAGAGGACTGCGTGCCAATGACATTAATCTGAGTCAAAAACAGAAATTGCTGGAAAAGCTCAGCAGTTCTGGCAGCATCTGTGGAGAAAAATCAGAGGTAATGACCCTGGGTGGCACAGTGGTTAGCACTGCTGCCTCACAGCGCCAGGAACCTGGGTTCAATTCCACCCTTGGGCGACTGTCTGTGTGGAGTCTGCACATTCTCCCCGTGTCTGCGTGGGTTTCCTCCGGATGCTCCGGTTTCCTGCACAGTCCAAAAATGTGCAGGCTAGGTGGATTGGCTGTGCTACATTGCCTGTAGTGTTCAGGGATGTGTAGATGAGGTGGGTTATAGGGGGATGGGTTTGGGTGGGTGTTCTGAGGGTCAGTGTGGACTTGTTGGGCAGGAGGGCCTGTTTCCACACTGTGGGGATTCTATGTTTCGAATGACTCCTCGTCAGAATTGATGGTAGCTCGGAAAGTGTCAGTTTATATGCAGAAAATAGGGTGGGGGAGGAATTAGGGAGTAAATGGTAGGTGGGAATAGAGCCCAAAGAGAAAAAAGAACAGTGTCAGATAAATGAGTGGATAACAATCTGGCGAGCAGAGTAAATAGCTATTAATGGAGACTATTAGTGGCTAACAATGCATTGTGTGTATTAGCAGAATATGTGACCCTGAGCTTCCAGCTGCCTGCCACTTCAACACATCATCGTGTTCCCTGGCCAACATCTCTGCTTCAGTAAAAACTGAAAGAACGGTGGATGTTGTAAATCAGAAACGTAAACAGAAATTGCTGCAAAAGCTCAGCAGTTCTGAGGAACAGTCACTTGACCCAAAATGTTAACTCTGATTTCTCTACAGATGCTGCAAGACCTGCTGAGCTTTTCCAGAAATTTCTGTTTTTATCTCTGTCTCAGGCTTGCTGCAGTGCTCCAGTGAAGCTCAATGCTAGCTGGAAGAATAGCAGCATATTTTCCTCTTGGGGATCCTTCAGCCTTCTGACTAAATATGGAGTTCTATAAACTTAGGGCTTGAGCTCTCCCATGTCCTTTCACCAAACCCCACACACCAGGCTTTCTTATCACATGGTCTGTTATTACACACAGCCCATTGTTAGCCACTAACAGTCCCCATTAATAGCTGTTCATCCTCCTAACCAGATCATTATCCACTCCTTTGTCCATCAAACCGTTCTTCACTCTCTATCCTCATTTATCATTTACTCCTTGCTTCCTTCCCCCACCCTATCTTCCGTAAATAAACTGACATTTTCCCAGCTACTATCAGTTCTGAGGAAGGGTCCACTGGACCCAAAACATTAACTCTGATTTCTCTCCACAGATGCTGCCAAACCTGCTGAGCTTTTCTAGCAATATCTGCTTTTGTTACTTATTTACAGCATCTGCAGTTCTTTCTGTTTTTAAATTAATCCAAGTGTTCCCCAACTGAAAATTTTGGAAGTACCGGGAGATCCATTCCCAACTGAAGTCTAGGTCTTAAGAGTTCAAGTTGGGTGACTCTGACCTCTACAAGGAATCTCGGTATGATCTTTGCAAAGCCATCAAGGATTCTAAGAGACAATACCAGACTAAACTGGAGTCCCAAACTAACTACACGGCCACAGGTCGATTGTGGCAAGGTGGGCACGACATACGGCACGGTGGCTCAGTAGTTTAGCACTGCTGCCTCACGGCATCAAGGATCTGGGTTCAATTCCACTCTCGGGCGACCATCTGTGTAGAGTTTGCACATTCTCCCCGTGTCTGCATGGGTTTCCTCCGGGTACTCCGGTTTCCTCCCAGTCCAAAGATGTGCAGGCTAGGTGGATTGGCCATGCTAAATTGCCCATAGTGTTCAGGGATGTGTAAATCAGGTGGGTTATAGGGGAATGGGTCTGGGTGGGATGTTCTGTGAGTCGTTGTGGACTTGTTGGGCTGAAGGGCCTGTTTCCACACTGTAGGGATTCTAAGCCATTCTTCTAAGTCTAAGTCATAACGGGCTGCAAAGTGATATAGAGCAGAATCGCTGATAACAATGCATCCCTCCCCGATGAACTCCCTGCATTCTATGCTCCCTTTGAACAGAAGGACAGTGAAACGATGTCACCTTCCCCAACAGCCTCAGGTGCACGTGTATCCACAGTCACTGTCACAGACATCAGATTGGCTTTCTTGAGGTGAACCCATCGAAACCAACTGGCCTGGATGAAGTCCTCAACCATGCAGTCAGATCCTGCGCAGACCAGCTGGCAGGAGTATTCATAGACATCTTTAACTTCTCCTTACTCCGAAGTGAGGTTCCCACCTGCTTCAAGA